ACTGCCGGGGGGTCGCCATCCGCCGAGCTCCTCCTGAGAGCGCGAAGCGCCGCGGAGCAGCCGCCGCCGCCTGCCGCGGCGCTGCCCGGCACCTCGTAAGCGCCAGCGCGGCGCTTGCTCTCGTTAAAGGCTCCTGGCGGTGCAAGACGGGCGGGAATTTAGGGAGGCAAAGCCGTGGTTTCTCCTTGACTGCTAGGGACTTTCCTCGCCCTAGTGAATGGTTTAATCTGCGACACAGGCTATTTCCTCTGACACGCTGGTCTGTGTCTATTCCACTGGGCAGCATCTGTAACCTCCCCTCCGCCCCCAGTTAAATTAAACAATTACATGCTTGGATTCACTTGTGACAATCATTAATAAGCTAATAATTCAGCTGCTGGTGTATTTCCTAGGGATATTTTCAATTAAAAGGGGTTAAAAACTTTTTTTTTTTAATTCAGGACTTTTCTGAATATTAATAGGAGATATTTTTAGTATCCTTAATTTTTTTGATGTTATTTTGCTCTTGAGTGTGAAAGACACACTTCCAGCAGACTACATGAACTCTTTCTGGGCTGCATTATTGAAAAGCAGAATTAAAAACAAACAAACAAAACAAGCCAGATCAATTCAGCCCTACCCTATGCCTATTTTGCTTTTCTTTTAGAAAGCAAAAAAAAAAAAAAAAAAAAGAGTAAAACTCAGAAAAGCTCTATTAAATCCCTGGCACTCAAAACTTCCCCTTCCCAAAAACTACCCCAAATGCTTCCACCCCAGCGCTGGCCTTTGGACCACTGTTCTGCAGGGAAAGGTACCTTAAGGGGCTCTGGCATGAGGTGAGTGGCTCAACTATCCATCTGCACAGAGCAGATGTTCGTGCTGCGCAGTGACAATCTGCCCCAGTGCAGACGACCTGGAATTAAACAGATGTTAGTCAGGCTCCTTGGCTCTCAGTGACTTCTGGCCAGTGCGGCAATGAGCAAACAACACATTACACGGCTAGGAATCTAAATAATATGTTGAGTTGAGGATTCCTCCTCACAACTACTGTACTG